GCTTAAATACTGAGTACTGACTTATTTTCTATCTGCGACATTGGAATATTTGAGGTGGAGTTCAAGATGGCGGTCAATACTTTATGATGCTTAAGTGATAAAAGTTTTATTAATTTTACCACTTGAAATACCTAAAAATTATGTTCATATAACAAAATTACGGAGGCATAAAAGTGATATTTGCATTTTTTATTTTTAGTTTTGTATACATATTTTATTTTAATTTTACATACATATTTTTTTTCAGTTTTGCATTCATATTTTATTTTTGTTTTTCGTACATATTTTATTTTTGTTTTTCATACATATTTTAGCCAATTAAAACAGCTTTCAAATCTCATAACAGCCCATAGTTGAGTATATTTATATAAAAATGGCAATTGGAACCGAACACAAAAGCGAATAGCCCAGCACGGCTCGTACTCATTACACAATTTGTTTATTGTTTTTAACCAACTTGATTTACCCGTGTCCAAACAATGTGACTTATTCGATTCATTGGTAGCTTCTACGTTAAATTACGCGGCTGAAATCTGGGGTCATCATGTCGGACCTGATGTTGAACTCATTCACTCCAAATTCTGTAGAAAAGTATTATCTGTCAAACGCTCTACAAATTTAGACGCTCTTTACGGCGAATTAGCTAGAATCCCGATGAGCATTCGTAGGCAATTAATAATGGTAAAATATTGGATAAAATTATTGACATGTAAAAAAGAATCTCTTCTTTTCAAAACCTATAACATGCTTAAAGTCGATGTTGAAGGAAATAACACATATAATAAATGTAATTGGGCTTATCAAATTAAAATTATACTTGATAAATGCGGACTTTCGTATATTTGGCAAAACCAATATAGCATGTTAATTGACTACAATATTATTGAACGACGCATATTAGATATTTATTATCAAAGTTGGTATTGTTCTATCAATAATTCTAGTCGTCTAGATACATACAGTTCTATAAAATATAAATTTGAATTTGAAAGTTATCTTGATTATATTAAGGACAAAAGATTTCGAGTTGCGCTTACAAAATTTCGCACATCATCTCACGACTTGTTTATTGAAAAGGGAAGATACACAAACGTACCTAGACTGGAAAGGATATGCAATAATTGTTCTTCGAGACAAATTGAAAACGAATTTCACTTTTTGTTTACCATGCTCACAATATGCTGACCTTCGCAAAAAATATCTCAGACGCTACTATTATACATGGCCTACATTGCAGAAATTTACTAATTTATTATTGTCTGAATCTAAAATAATTGTAAGAGATCTTTCTAAATATTTATATTATGCAAATTTGATTAGAAAATAGTTTTACAGAACCTCAAACACGTCACAATTATGAATTCATATGTTTTACATTGTATTTTTGTGCTCCTAGAAAAATCTATGTCTTCTGCCTATAGTTATGTTGTATGTGCTATAAACATATATTGTATGTTTAACGCAATAAAATTATTTGAGTTTGAGTTTGAGTATAAAACTAGCACAGTGGTTTGGTCACAGTTCGGCCCATCTTTGGAATCGACCCAGTCGTTTTCGGCCGGGCAAGTCTGGTTTCGGCCGACCCTTTTCGGTCCATTATTTATATATGTATTTTATATAATTATTTTGTTTTATTATAATATACTATTTTATTAATTATTATTATTATTATTTATCTGGTCCTTCCAGATTTTTCCTCCTTTTTGATTGGATGAATCGAAAGAAATTGATATTACCGAGCCAGACGGGTAATATACACACTAAATTTCCCCGCTGGGTACCCCACGTTGTAAACAACATGCGCTGTGGCGATGCGCGTACAGTTTGATTTTACGCGATGTAAAATTCCGATTTACAAGCACTTTTTAACTGTCAAATGATAAATATTTACCAAAATAGAGTAATGATACATATTCTCATTAGTATTGAAAACAAATATGACCTTGTGAAAGCTTGATATTAATCCCAAAAAAGTGCTGGTAACAGAATACTCCTTTTCTCTTGTTTACATTCGTTAGGTTCGAAAGAAAAAATGTCATGTATTTATGTGACGTCATTATGTGGTGAAGGGGTACCCTAAAGGGAATCTTATTTCGACGTTTCATTTGAAGTAGCAATGATTTATATTAAAATCGTCTTAACTTGGCAGGGGAAGGGTTATAAAATTATTATTTTGGTTATGGAGTGATATATGTGGATATATTACTGCCAAGATAAAATATCACCTTCGCCTGACGGCTCGGGTGATATAAAATCTAGACCGGTAATATATCCACTTATAACACTCCAAAACCAAAATAACATATAATATTAGAATCTATTTGGAAAGGGCTGTTGATTGGTGATCAGTTATTAGTCCATGAATATGCACCACTCAACCCCACCCCCTGAGAATTGAGAATTATGAAACTTAGGTCAATTCCTTAGCACATTCAGGTAATGTGCAGAACTTATATGCCAGGTGTGCCGGCTCAAGGTCGGGGTCACACCTACAGGTCAAAGGATTAAAACTTGGGTTTCATTTACGCTCCTTATCTCCGAAACCCCTTGAAGGATTTTAAGGCACCTTTGCAAATGGCGTCATGTAAAAAATGTACGAAAAAAAACAAAAATAAAATATGTACAAAAAAAAAATATGTATGCAAACTAAAAAAGAATATGTATGCAAAACTAAAATAAAATACTAGTATGTATGCAAACTAAAAAAGAATAGGTATGCAAAACTTAAAAAAAATATGTATTCAAAACTAAAAAAAAATATGTACGACAAACAAACTACTCTAGTACAGAAATTGTGTATTCCTAGAATTAAAAGATGCTGCGAAAAATATCCCGTTCTGTCGGTCATTTACTTGATAACTTTTGGTGCCATATTGAGCCCCATTTTAAATATGTTGGGAATGAAATAAAATGCAGTTAATATTTTTTTCCAAAGAACTATAAATATACTCCATTGCAATGTTCTGGTGAAAATCAAGCTTTTCGATCGGACTATAAATAGTTATTTTTACAAATACTTGTACATTATTAAGCTAATCAACAAACTTAAGGGTTTTTGTAAGCTCCGTAACAACCGTTCGCCAGAGGCTTTTTGTATGGGAAATCTTACATACTTCTTTAAAAAGAGCAAACATGAATTTAATAATGTTAAAATAATGGTATCAGAGAAATGTAAGATGCTTGTTATCTGAAAGTAGCGATAACTGTGAAATTATTCGTCATAAAAGAAGTCAAAACACTGTAGTATTTGACTTCCATATAAAATACTAATTCACTATAACTGTACTCATCATTGCCAAAAAGCAACAGATGAAAAAGATGGCTCAGGTAATTGGCCAATGTGTATTTTTGGATAATATAGAAGAACATCAAAATAAAAAAGCTTTTAAGAAAAACAAATAAAAGCATAATGGGCCTTTAAAACGTTATTTTTAACCCCCGGGGGGATCGATACCCCACAATCCCCTCTATACCCCAGTGAGAATTTTACATTATTCTTAATGTGCGACTACTTAAATAGTTGATATTTTTAGTACTGCCTGTACGGACTACTACTTAAAGCCGCATCTACACCTAGTCAAGTTTCTTATATGTCACATTGAGCTTTCAACATATTATTAGGCACATTTCTTAATGAAATGACTTACTAAGATTTCCCAGAATTTATACCTTTGTCTATGCTAAGACTATCATATTTCTTAAAAATGTGTAAATAAAAAACGGGAAAATAATGCATTTAGCTAAAAACAATGGAGTTAATGAAAGGTGTACATTCTTTTAAAATAAATGGAAAATTTGAGAAAAAATATTTTAAGCTTAATAATTGATACAAATTCTTTATTTGGTGATTTATTTGGTGAAAGTTCTTCACTTACTAATCAAGACCATTTAAATCCCTATTGATTCTACTATAATTCAGGGCACATGTTTGTGTCTATTTAATACCTTGATTTTTTGTTTACCATTGGCTTTGACTACAATATATTATTTAAAACATAATGAACATTAATTTTCTATGACCCCAAAGTGCGGTCGTTTGCCTGATGTTAAAAAATGCATATGTACCTGTTTAACGCACTTTGGGGTCGAAATTGGACCCCAAAGTGCGTAACGCACTCTGGGGTCGGACCCCAAAGTACGTAACGCACTTTGGGGTCGGACCCCAAAGTGCGTTTGACCCCAAAGTGCGGTGTTACAGGGCATAACGTACGATATCACTGAATATTTTAACGTTTCAATGCGCTCAATTACGACGCATATCAACACTATATAGTTTAACAAGTTTATTACTCTTACCTAAAGATCTTATTCGATACCGGATCCCGGGATTTCAACCTCCCCCATCCCAACCCCATTAAACGGATCGTAAACGTTTTATAATTCAGTATGTTCTTGTGTAATATAAACTCAGAAAGGTCAAAGTAAAATAATGTTTTGCTTGTTGTTTATTCATTAATATCATAAACACATCTCTTCCGTCCTTTCCGTTAATTTTTGATAATGACCTCGAACAAAACAGTATGGTACGGTATTTCGGTCTTATGATCTTTTGGGAATATTGGATAACTCAATTGAAAGTTTTATCCAAAGATTCATTTGGAAATGGTCCAACATGCTGCCTACATGGTAGAAATTATAGACGGTATGACTATTTGATGATTTGAAAAAGATATAGACCTACTGTTAAATTTATCATCGCAAAAAGTGGATAGCATCTGCTAAATTATTTTCGATGTTCCAAAAAATATTTCTTGGTACAAACGCCTAAAAACGCTGGAAAATAAAGCGATTCTAAAGTGATTTTCAAGACGTCTCACAACACTTACTGAAACACAAAGCGGTTTTATATCTAATGATATCGAAAAACCAGTCAAGAGTTATAAAACATATTAATTTCGTGCCAAAAAGTTGGCATTATAGGTACGAGTATATAGCTAAACAAATAAATATTCCTTGAGGCAGTGCTATTCATTCAAGAAACTTAGACAGAAAGTCATGTTGCTGTCTAGAGAAGTGTTTCTTCTTTTTCTATTAACCACTGGTCGGAATTGTGAAGAACCTCGCTGTTCTAAATATGATTTTGAGGAAAAGGTGCTGGAAAAAATGGTACGCATAGAACTTCAAATGGAGAGACTGAAACTTGAGGTGGAGCAATGTGTTAACAGAGTTGAAAATATCAAGATGGAAGTTAGCAATCAAATGAAAGCAAATCAACAACAGCTTGAAAATGGTTTTGAGACCAGTATGAAAGAAGTCAGTAATGTCACATCGGCAGTTAAGGCAAAGCTTCTTGAACTTCAAGGTAAAATAAAGTCACATTTAGTGATTTTTCTTAGATACATTGAATAATATTTGTTTGTTGTTTTTTATTTTCGTTGAATTATTCAAGCTTTGTTGTAAGATGTGATGATACTAGGTAGAATCCATTTAAAAGTAGTATAAAAAGACAATCAAATCTGGAGTAAAGTTTTTAATTCATCAATACTATCTAACACCGATGTCCACATAGCATTGTAGAACCGACCGGTTAGGGGGAATTCTGTGGCCGAGTGGTTACGGTTGCTGACTTTAAACTACCTGCCCACACTGATGTGGGTTCGAATCCAGAGCAAACTAGCTTACGGAAAGTCGCCTTATATGCTGGAGGCCAGGGTTCGACAACTACTGTTGCATTTGTTTTAGACATACACTTTTTTAGCTCACCTGTCACAAAGTGACATGGTGAGCTTTTGTGATCGCTTTTCGTCTGGCGTCCGTCCGTCCGTAACTTTTTATTTTAAACAACATCTCCTCATAAACGGCTTTGTCAATTTCACCCAAACTTCACAGAAATGTTCCTTTGGTAATGAACTTTGAAAGTTGTTCAAAAAATGTAATTCCATGCAGAACTCTGGTTGCCATGGCAACCGAACGAAAAAACTTTTAAACTCTTTTTTAAAAAGAAACTGAAAGAGCTAGACCTTAAATATTTGGCATGAAACATCATATAGTCAGAGTCAACCAAGTTTGTTCAAATAATAGCCCTGGGGTCAAAATTTGCCCGGCCCCGGGGTCATTTATTTTCCTTATTTGTATATTGTAAAAACTTAAAAAAATCTTCTATTCAAAAATTCAAATAGCTAGAGCTTAGATTTTAGGCATGAAATATATTCTCATGGTTGTCTACCTACCAAGTTTGTTCAAATAAACGCCCTAGGGTTAAAATTGGCCCCGCCCAGGGGGTCATTGATTTTCCTTATGTGTATAGCAAAAACTGAAAAACTATCTTCTTTTAAAAACCCAAAGAGCAAGAGTTTAGATACCAAGCATGAAATATCTTCTAGTGAAGGGGGGATCATTGTTTTCCCTATATGTGTATAGTAAAAACTTAAAAAATCTCTTTTTAAAAACCCCAAAGCGCTAGAGCTTAGACATTTATCATGAAACATCTTCTATTGGGTGTCTGCCAAAATTGTTGAAATAAAAGCCCTTTGGTTAAAATTGGCCCTACCCCAGGGGCCTGTATACGGGTGAGCGATTTCAGGGCCATCATGGCCCTCTTGTTATTTTTGCAAAATATTTTAATGGAAATGGCCGAGTGCTTGCATAATTGTCTACATGGATATGAAGTAACTCGATTTGTATTGTGTTTTCGTCATAAAAATGACATCTATTGATTTTTCTCAGAAAAATGTACTAAGATTTAAGGAAAGGTATAAAGATTCAAAATTCTAGTAAACATTTACATGTTATGTGCGATCAATGACCGAATTTTTCAGTATGTATAGCTATATTTCTACTGCGTTACTAACGCAGTAATTGCTATTTTTGCATATGTTGACCTTTTTATATTAATTAACATAGGTTGTAAGTACCATTGATAATGTGTTTATTGCAATCCTTTGATAACTTTACAATATTAAACTGTTAAATACATTTTCAAATTTTCATGAAAATAAGCATGAATCTGGAGGTGTGCTGCTTCAATATACCTGTTCTGTGCATTGACTGTATAATCAGTATGCAATTGACAGGTAAATAAAATCAAACAATAATGGCAGATCTATATGTTTCTCTACATGACAAACTTAATTACTCCGCATATTTATATTGGTGATATAAATATTTATATAATTGCTTTCTTAATCTCAACTCAAATTCTGTGTGACTGTATCAATCAGTATTTATCAGAACAGAGATATAAAGTGGGTCACAATTACTGTTAACGTGGTTAAAAAACGCATCCAAACCATGTTCATACAATGACTGCTTTGCCTTTGAAATATAGGGTAATGAATGTGTGAAGAGGAACAAAGGCTGTCTTCATTAATGCTAGTTAATATTTACATTTTTCGGTATTTGTATTGTAACACAGTTTACCATATGTTCAACTTCAGCTTTCAAAATTTATCTCTCAGAAAGATTTTTGCACTTCAAAATATCTACAGAATGCAAGTAATTATTAACAAGAGCGATCAGTGATCACATGTGTCGCCTCATGATGGCCAATTTCATGTTTGGACAAGTTTTGTGACAGACGGACAGACAGACGGACAGTGCACAACTAGACTTGGTACTGATCATTCCTATAAAGTTTGGATAAAATTGCACCAGTAGTTTATGAGGAGTAGTCCGGAAAAGTTTTGTGACGGACGGACAGACAGGCGACGGAGAAGTGATCCTTTTATGTCGCCACTACTCCGTAGAGGCGACACAAAAACGATAAAAGAAGTAGTTTTTGTATTGACTTGTAAATATTTGTGTATGTATTTCTTTTAAAAATTATAGTGTGGTTACGTTTACCTAGAATGCAATTCGATTGTAAAACCAGCTCATATCGTTTTAGTAATACATACTTTTTGAGAGAATGTATAATGTTAAATGTTCTTTTTCATCAAAAATGAAGTGAATGAGAGTACTGGTATTTAATAACTTTCAACATATAAGTACTGGTACTGCAATACTTGGCCAATATCTAATACATAAACTAATAAGTTGCACAAGTTGGAGAGTACTGGTACTGATATTGCATAAGTTGTCGAGAACTGGTACTGCATAAGTTGGCGAGTACTGGTACTAATACGGCATAAGTTGGTAGATACTCGTTCTGGTACTACATAAGTTGGCAAGTACTGGTACTGATCCTGCATAAGTTGGTAGATACTCGTTCTGGTACTACATAAGTTGGCAAGTACTGGTTCTGATACTGCATAAGTTGGAGAGTACTGCTACTGATATTGCATAAGTTGTCGAGAACTGGTACTGCATAAGTTGGCGAGTACTGTTCTGATACTGCTTAAGTTGGCAAGAACTGGAACTTATACTGCATAAGTTAGCTAGTACTGGTAATGATTTGGCTTTTGTTGGAAAGAACAGGTACTGATATGTATAAGTTGGCAAATACTGGTACTGATATTGCATAAGTTAGTGAATACTTGTTCTGGTACTGTATAAATTGGCAAGTACTGGAAATGATACTGCTTAAGTTGGAAAGTACTGGTACTGATACTGCTTAAGTTAGCAAGTACTGGTACTGATACTGCTTAAGTTAGCAAGTACTGGTACTGATACTGCATAAGTTGGCAAGTACTGGTACTGATACTGCATAAGTTGGCAAGTACTGGTACTGGTACTGTATAAGTTGGCAAGTACTGGTACTGATACTGGCTAAGTTGGTGAGTACTGGTACTGCATAAGTTGGCAAGTACTGGTACTGATACTGCATAAGTTGGTGAGTACTGGTACTGATACTGGCTAAGTTGGAAAGTACTTGTACTGATATTGCATAAGTTGGCAGGTACTGGTACTGTATAAGTTGGCAAGTACTGGTACTGATACTGCATAAGTTTGCAAGGACTGGCACTGGTTCTGCTTAAGTTGGCAAGTACTGGTACTGCATAAGTTTGCAAGTACTGGTTCTGATACTGCATAAGTTGGCGAATACTGGTACTGCATAAGTTGGCGAGTACTGGTTCTGATACTGCATAAGTTTTGCGAGTACTGGTACTGATACTGCATAAGTTTTGCGAGTACTGGTACTGATACTGCATAAGTTTGCAAGGACTGGTACTGGTACTGCATAAGTTGGCAAGTACTGGTACTGCATAAGTTGTCGAGTACTGGTTCTGATACTGCATAAGTTTTGCGAGTACTGGTTCTGATACTGCATAAGTTGGCGAGTGCTGGTACTGGTACTGCATAAGTTGAAGAGTACTGTTACTGGTACTGCATAAGTTTGCTAGTAATGGTACTGGTACTGCATAAGTTGAAGAGTATTGGTACTGATACTGCATTAGTTGGCGAGAACAGGTACTGCATAAGTTGGCGAGTACTTGGTTTGGTACTGCTTATGTTTGCGAGTTCTGGTTCTAATACTGCATAAGTTGGCGAAAACTGGTTCTGATACTGCATAAGTTGGCGAGTACTGGTACTGGTACTGCATAAGTTGGCGAGTACTGGTTCGGATACTGCATAAGTTGGCGAAAACTGGTTCTGATACTGCATAAGTTGGCGAGTACTGGTACTGGTACTGCATAAGTTGGCGAGTACTGGTTCTAATACTGCATAAGTTGGCGAAAACTGGTTCTGATACTGCATAAGTTGGCGAGTACTGGTACTGGTACTGCATAAGTTGGCGAGTACTGGTTCGGATACTGCATAAATTGGCGAGAACTGGTTCTGATACTGCATAAGTTGACAAGTACTAGTTCTGGTACTGCATAAGTTGGCGAGAACTGGTTCTGATACTTCATAAGCTGGCGAGTACTGGTTCTGGTACTTAAGGACTATATCCCTTGTTGTGGTGCAGCTCTGATCAATGTCCATTATTTCTCGAACAATATTTTATAATTTTTAAATTATCCATAAATATTTGATTGACATACATTTTTGCTGTGTTGCCAGTGCAAAATTTATTATGAGAATGTGAAAAAAACATCTCTGTCACAACATAAAGTTGCTTAGCCCTTTCCTATTATAATGTAGTTACATAAATAGCCACAACCAAACAATAAAGTATTTTCAATTTTCTTTAGGGTGTCATAGTTGACAATTTTAACGGTTAAGGTACATGCGTCTTTCTTAAAATGGCCAAGGTCTTGATCCTTAAATTTCATTTAAGTAATTAACGGATGCGAAAGCTATAAATATAAACTTATTTCGTTAAATTAAATTTGACACAAATATTTGATCTTGCATTTAAATCTATTGTTAATTAACATTATGTGTTTTACCAAAAGATACTAAGATTTCAATAAAAAATATAATTACCTGCTTGTGGATTCTTTATATTGTTCATTTCTAGATACTGTAACACCAACTGTTGCATTTAAGGCAAGATTAAATGCCGATATTGCAGTGATGGGAGGTCAGACAATAGTGTTTCCAGTATTAATCTTCAAGGAAGGAGATGGGTATAACCCAAATACCGGACAATTTACAGCACCGATCAGTGGGGTGTATATGTTTAGTTTAGCTTTCTGTGTCTACCCAAAGAAGACATTGACTTTTACTATAATGATTGAAGGAACAAGATATTCAACGTCATTGTTCTATGGTGATGATGACTATGGATGTTCATCAGCTGATACAGTTGCGATAGTGACGGCCGGACAGAAGGTATGGGTCGAGGTTATACCAGGCGGTAATACTGGCACCATTATAGACCAGGATTCATACCGATGGAATACATTCTCCGGGACATTAATAAACAGGAGGATTTAATTCTGTGTCAACTTTGTAACAGCTAGTTGTATAGTAAGGAGCCGAATGTTCTGATGTTATGAGAAAACTTGTTCATGCATTTTTATCATTAATGTTAGATCTAATGCAGAAATATTAGTGCATTTGTTTTGCAGACTTTTTGCTAATGATGATAAACATCTTAACACTTATCAATAAAACTTAGCGATGTCAATCATTTACTTTACAAGGTATATATCATCTGTTTTGCTATTTCTGTCGTTTTTTTCTTTTAGTATACAATATATTCAAATCATTGTGACATATAAAATGCTGTTATAGTGCCAAATTGGTGACATATGTTTCGTAGTTCGTATTTTAATTTGATGGAAGGAGAACACCATTCAATATTGTTTTATTAATAATATATTAATTGATATATTATTGTGTTTTTGTTCGAATCCTGTCAAGGACTTGGAATTATGTTGATGTGAGACAAGTATCTTGCTGGCATACGGGGGGTTTATGGTTCTAGTGAAGTACCAACTTGTGCCTAAAAGAATGCATGTATGGGCCTGGGGTATTCTTCCACGAGTAAAGCTGGGAAGTCGCCATTTGAGCTAAACAGTGTCGATATGTCCTAAAACACCCTTCATAATAATACTAATGTAGGTATATGTATATATATGATCACATGTTGGTCATTCTTAACCTGTCTTTATATAGATCATAACGTTCAGATCATATTGTATCATATTGCATTACCTGGTGTATATATTTAACTTATTTCATCTTATGAAGTGTTTTATAAGATTCATATAGAGAAACATTATCTTGTTTACATAATATTATGGTAGATTCTCAAAACAGTTTTAACATAAAATGTCCCTATTATTTAACGCTCAAAAAACGGAACAAAATAGTGTGTAATTAAAAATGGGGTTTTGACCGGCTAGCATGAATCGTTTGCGAACAATATTCTATAATACAGGTCTTTTTGTTTTTGTTTGGTAACTACAGGCAGCAGATACATTTAGAACTTTAGTCATCAATAAACAATAGACAAGTGTTTATATCGTTTTACGACTTTTGTACACATTTAAGCCTTATAGTAAGCACTAGAAACATGTTGTAACGTTTTTCTTTTCTTTTCCTTTTTGTTGTTGTTGTTGTTTTATTTGTTTGTTGTTGCATAAAAATATGTGTTTATCGAAATTACAGCTCAGATAACTCATTTCCTATTGTTTATTTTTCATTACATCTTATGTCAAAATAGCATGTTTAATTAACTCGATTTTAGCAAACACGGGAGGGAAAATGTCTCTCTAGTTTAATTCCATTCACCTTTTGGTACAAAAATCACACATCATCTTTAAATGACATCATTACATTTCGTACAGGAATAGAAAGAACATATAAGACATTAGGCAAAAGATTAACCAGGAAAGTAGGCGGTACATAAAAGAGGATATTTCTTTTGTTTTTGGTGGTTGAGATTTATATATATTTGTTTTTTTTTTGTTGTTAAGATTGAAATATATTTCACTGAGTGAACACCAGAGGTAATATTTTCAAGAGTGGCGTAGCCACGAGTGAAAATATTATAGCCGGTGTTCACGAATGATTTTATATGTAATCTTATATGTAAAACAAATAAATTTTCATTTTATTTCATGCTTTATCACTGATATTAATTTTTTGTTACTGATTTTGCCGCGTAACGTCGCGCATCATACTTTATGACGGCATCATATCATGACGTGACATCGTCAATTTTGAAATATAGTTCCCTTAAATTTCTTTAATTTTGTACATTGTTAATATGATTTGTGATGACATCAACTTTCTTTTTCCAAAGAAGCAAAATGTACATATGATGGCATTAATGTTTGCCTGTTATCCCACCCATTTAGTTATGATATTCTTTTCATCTGCATTCAGATCTAGTCCGGCTACAATGAAAATTATATTTTATAAATTTCACTAGTGGTTTATCAGAATATAATCATCTGATATATTACAGTAAAACACTGGAAAGCATGTAATAAATAGTACATAGCAGTAGCTTTTTTCTCGTGTAATGTGTGATTTTTTTTTTACTGTTTTTAGCTCACCTGTCACAAAGTGACAGGGTGAGCTTTTGTGATCGCTTTTCGTCCGGCGTCCGTCCGTCGTCCGTCCGTCCGTCCGTAAGTTTTTACTTTAAATGACATCTCCTCATAAACCACTAAGCAAATTTCATCCAAACTTCACAGGAATGTTCCTTTTGGTGGTCACCTTTAAAAATTATTCAAAGAATTTAACTCCATGCAGAACTCTGGTTGCCATAGCAACCGAAAGAAAAAAACATTTAATATCTTCTTTTAAAAAACCCAAAGACCTAGAGATTAGATATTTGGCATGAAACATCATCTAGTAAGTGTCTACCAAGTTTGTTCAAATAAAAGCCCTGGTGTCAAAATTGGCCCGCCCCGGGGGTCATTGATTTTCCAATTTGCATATATTAAAAACTTAAAAAATCTCCTTTTAAATAACCCATAGAGCTACAGCTAAGATATTTAGCATGAAACATCTTCTAATAAGTGTCTACCAAGTTTGTTCAAATAAAAGCCCTGGGGTCAAAATTGGCCCCGCCCCAGGGGGTCATTGATTTGCCCTATATGCATATAGTAAAAACTTAAAAAATCTTCTTTTAAAGAACCCAAAGATATAGAGCTAAGATATTTAGCATGAAACATGTTCTAATGGGTTTCTACAAAATTTGTTCAAATAAAAGCCCTGGGTTCAAAATTGGCCCCGCCCCGGGGGTCATTGATTTTCCCTATATGCATATAGTAAAACTTAAAAATCTTCTTTTAAAGAACCCATAGAGCTAGAGCTAAGATATTTAGCATGAAACATCTTCTAATAAGTGTCTATCAAGTTTGTTCAAATAAAAGCCCTGGGGTCAAAATTGGCCATGCCCCAGGTGGTCATTGATTTTCCCTATATGTGTTTGGCAAAAACTTAAAAATCTTCTTTGAAAAAACCCAAATAGCTAGAGTTTAGATATTAAGCATGAAACATCTTCTAGTAAGTGTCTACAAAGTTTGTTCAAATAACAGCCCTGGGGCTTAAACTGGCCCGGCCCCAGAGGTGTCATTGTTTTTAACTATATGTGTATAGTAAAAACTTAAAAAATCTTCTTTTAAAAATCCCAATGAGCTAGAGGTTAGATTGCAGGAAACATCTTTTTGTGGGTGTCTACCAAGTTAAAATAAAAGCCCTTGGGTTAAAATTGGCCCAGCCAAGGAGGGGGGGGGGGAGGCCATTGTTTTTCATTATATGTGTGTAGTAAAAACTTAACATCGTGAAACATCTTCTAATGAGGGTCTTCCAAGTTTGTTCAAATAAAAGCCCTTGGGTTTAAACTAGCCCCGCTCCGGGGGCTTAAATACAGGTGAGCGACCTCAGGGCCATCATGGCCCTCTTGTTTGTTTATTTATTTGTTTGTTTGTCTGTCTGTTAGTCGCAGAGGAAGACCTTATGTACCCCTCCGTAAATTATTTCGGACTTGAGCTAGCACCAAATACATTTCGAAATCTAGCTAAGTAGATACTTTTCTCACGAGAAATTATTGAAAGTCCTGGTCGGGGTTCAAATACACACTGATTATACGTGTGCGTTTATCGCATTCAGAACCGTATTTTCATGTTTATGATCCGGGCATACGGAACTGGGTTTTCTCACAAATAAGTAAGATGAATTGTATTCGAACACTTCATGTAAAACATATTAAAAAGAAAATAATTTACTAGTAGTCAAGGAAATGATATGCGTATCAAGTTAAAAGCATACGGCGTTTTAACAGACAATTTAAATAATAAAATATATTATTTGTACATTTTCAAATAAAATAAGTTGAGTTTATTTTGGTGACACAGTATTTGATGGACTATCAGTGACGGTCCAGTTTCAGTATATCTTTGTGGGTTTGTTTAATTTAGCATGTCGCTACCCTGCAAATCCCTCTTTATAAAATTTCTTTATAGTTTTTTTCCTTTTTGATACAGTCAATCTGTTTTCTGATGATCAACAAGAATCTATGAACAAATGATGAGGTTGAAATGAAACTTCATGTATATATTTCACAATGAGAATTATCTCAGAAGTGTTAGGTTTTAATTTGCTTTGTTGTTGTTTTGTTGGATTGTTACCATTTAATGTGTTGAAATAAGTGTGAAGTATTTACAAATTAAAAATATGTTTATAGATACCAATACATGATGTATTTAAAATATTTTTTTCTTTTAAAAATATATCGCTTCATAACATTTTGTTTCAATTTTTTCTTCTTCATTCCCTGGTCTTATATACAATTAAAGCTATCCAAATAGGTTACGAATCTCGGTGATTATACACGGATGTCCGTTCGTGCCTGAAGTAATGCCCTGAAAGGCACCTGTGGTTTAACTTCACCAGTTAAGACTGGATTGTCGCCATAAGACCTATACTGTGACTTAAAACACAACACAAAGGTGTATCTAGGTTAAAAGTAAGGTACACGGTGATAGGGCGATTACCACAACTTTTCCGCGCAACGTCAAAATATCTTACTTCTGTCCGAGACACCGTATATTTCTGTGGTACAAAATGGACAGCAAGCCTGTAACCGAGACGAAAGCAGCAGATAAATTGCTCAAAACAAGGTAAAATCATCTTTTTTTCTTTTTCATCGAATGTGCCATTTAATTTGAAACTTATTTATCTTTACTACATGCAAAATGCTTTATTAATAAAGTCAGGATAGTGAAAACATTTAGGGCATACTGAAAAAAATCTTGCTTTGATTACGAAATATAACGTATTTCTAGTCCGTTCAGTTTCATATAACTTGTCAAAATACACAATATAGATATGTACATAATTGTCGTATGAACAAGTTACAATACGTAAATAACCCGTTTTTTTGTATATTTGTATGATTTTTATGTTTCCACGTGTGTATTTTAAGGCACCGCACAACTTTGTCAATCATAAGATTAGGGCACCGCATTATTCCTCCTTAAAATCACCGCATTTTTTCTGTCTTTTTTAGCACCGTTGATTTTTGATATTAATGTTTGCTTTCAGAAAAAGAAGACTTTCAAACCTATGTGTGAACAAGCCAAAGCAACGTGCGAAATTGGCAAAGCTGCAGATACTCGCAGCAACTGGAGAGCGCCCCAACTTAGTCTTCTGATATCATCAGTACCCCAATGGATCAGCGCCTCCCTGTATTTCAGGACAATATGCGTAACGCACCACATAAGGAAAAGAATATGAAGTCAAACTTTCGCAAAAGATTGTTTTAAAAAGCAC